GCTCTGATACCATTTGTAACGACTCACTCCACCACATGGTATGATATTGTCCGTTTTGGACCTGAGTTCGCACGGTTTTGCTCTTAAACTTTACAGCACACCCGCCCACATAGGGTCATCACAATCTACCCCCCTTGGAGGCCCGACATCCCCGCCGACACACTTCCAGCTGGGTCAAGTTCTAATACCATTTGTAATGGCCCACTCCACCATATGGTATGATATTATCCTCTTTGAGCCTGAACCCGCACAATTTTGCTCTTAGATTTTACCCCAAAAGGTCTCATACCAATTGGAGTGACACACCTACATATAAGCACTTCACCTTTCTTTTTTCCCAAGCGATGTGGGATTGTGTACCCATAGCTCGTCAGTGTGGTAGCCTGTTAGTGTCTCACACCCGCCCATGGCATACCCGCCCACAAGGTCATCACACGAGTTGTGGCAAACTTTCAGGCAAAATCATTCTTATATCCGCTTCTAAATCATGAAGTTTAGGAAGTAAATGTGAGAAAACAGCTGAACGAAAATATGAATTTTCTACGAATAACTTGCAGCGAATTCTCCTTCAGCAACATGTTATTCTCAATCGAGGTTTGAACCCCTGACTTCTCCTTTGAGAGGCCAAGTTTGTACCAATTAGACTATTGCTCATTAGATATGCAATATGATTTTTTGATTCACGAAAATATTGTACCTTTTTTTTTCCTAAAGTTTGTCACAGTGAGTTTTCCTTAGTAAAGTTTTAGCGAGGCATGCATATCAATAAATTATAAATATATGGAAGTTGCTGAAAAAGAGAAGATAAAGAGACAAACAAATACGGAAATTGTTGGAAAGAGAATCCCATGAGAAAGTATATTTTGCATCCGAACTTTAAAGATTCATATCTACAAACAGTACATAAAAAAAATTACAAATAATATATACACGAAAAACTTATGAAATAAGAATTTCAGAAATATAAGATTTGTGCAACAAGCCGCTATAACCAAAGATAAATAAACAATCTATGAATCTACTCCAGCAATTTTTTTTTAAATAAAACACTCGGGATATCAAGAAAATGTTCAGAATTATTCATTTGCATATAGAGTATAACATATAAAAAAAAAAAATTATCCCCAATAAAGATTGCCTATTTCTCTCTGGTTATGATTGCATGTTACACAAATTTTATATTTCTGGAATCCTTGTTTTATAAACTTTTCGTGCATATATTATTTGTAATTTTTCGATGTACGGTTTCTGTGATATGAATTTTTGGAATTCGGATGAATTAAGATCAAATAAAATAGAAATAAGTGCATTTTGATCCAAACATGCACTCTTTTATAGGGATGGCAATTTCCTCCGACCTATCGGGTTTCCGCCCCGCCCCCTAATGGGGTGGATTTGGTAACCCCCTAAATGGGTTTGGGATGAGAATGAAAAAGTAATTGAAAACCCGAAGCGGGTTTGGGGCGGGGGTGTATTTATTGATGAACCCGCCCCAATTATATATGTACTTTTAAAATATTTATAAAAATATAAAATATATATTTAATATTTTTAAGACTCTGTTACTTTGCTGAAAGTGTCGTTAATATATTAAATATCCACTAATTACTAATTTTAAAGTTGAGCCAATTTATTTATTAAACCAATTTGAGTACATTGGGTTAGTTTTATTTTACTAAATAATAAAAGTGATATAACTTATACCGACCCGCAATTAGATGGACTCCGTGGAGCAAAGTCGGTACTTTGTTTGTCGGAGTTGGAATAGTGATTGTATACCAATTACAAACTTGTCCGGAATAGGAGTGGAGATAGTATGACAAATTTTTTAGCGGGACAGATTAGGATTTAGCTAAACCCGTCCCATTGTCATCCCTACTCTTTTATTCCTTCAAATAGTTGGAGGATTCTTTAATTAAAAAAATTAAATAAGGAGGGTTTACTAAAAAAAAAAAAAATGCCCATAATCAAGAAGGATTTATTATACTTTACCCAATTTTAATCATTTGACTTCTAGTTCTCATACTATTATTTTAAAATTATCACAATATTTCAGCGGGACACTAGTGACCCTTACTTGAAAGGTACAATTAAATTCATGTTTTTCTTATGTGTGACGTTAGTGGTCCTTACTTGAATGGTACAATTAAATTCTTGGTTTTTTTTTTATGTGTGGCATTAACGGCCCTTACTTGTAAGATATAATTAGATTCTGTTTTTTTTTTCACATGTGAAGAGATACAATTGATTAGTGACATAAATAATAAAATATTAAAAGTTTTAGGAAGAATTTCACACCAGCATATATTGCGGGTAGTAATGATTAAAATTTTTTTTTTTGGGAAGGTGTAATGATTAAAATTTGTGTTGGATATTTTTCAATGTAAATTTGTGTAGGATATTTGTTTTATTGAAAGATTATGTGATCTAATCACTGGAGCATGAAGGCAAACCGACGGAGTAGTCTATTTATCACGTGAGTAGTCTATTTATCACTTGATGTAAAAATAAAGGATGGACAAAACCTAACCTAATCACAATATGATGATTTGTCCAGGAACCTAATTTTTTACAAATATCAATCAATCATGGATTGTTTATATAATGATGTATGGTCTTATCTAGGCTATCTGATCAAATACAGTTATAGTTAATTATTACTTTCTACATAAAAAGATGGTATGACTTGAACCTAAAATATATGGGTCTTATGGTTTAACGATATTTGAGTCTCACGCCTACCATAACCCAAAAAAAAAAAAAAAACAAAAATCTTTAAACATGCTACATGAGACACGTCTGGAGAAGCATTCTTGGATTAGCATGAAATTAAATTAATTGAAGACAAATGTAAAAAAAAAAAATGTTGATTGCATATACGATGGTTCAGTACTTTCAAATGACTGGCACATTCTGGTAAGAGGCTAAGCCTCGTGAGATTTTGAAGAAGAGAAAGCAAAGCCACGTGAGAGAGAGAGAGAGAGAGAGCGCTCAGGAAACAAAAATTTAACTACAATATATGTCTGGTATCTTCAAATCATTATAGGTATAAAGAAGTTAGTTGGAACATTTAATAAGAGAAAGTTAAGTGTTACAAAGAGATATTTATCCCACATCAAATTTAAATTAAAGAATAATTGCATATGAATGAATGAATATACAATATTACTCGACAACACTTTCTAAATAATGAACAAGTTTCAAGTCAGGATTATCCACCTTCATTTTCAACTTATTATATATATTTTGAGAATTTAATAAGAGATTTCCAAAACTGTGTCCCATGTTCTTTTTCTGGCAAGTCAGGAATATATATATATTATTGTTCATTTTATAATATCATCTTCATTTTCAACTTATTTTCATATATGCAATTTAGGATATTTTTGACCTTTTAAGAAAAAAAGAACATATTTTTTAATCCTAGTCACCAGAGGTGGAACCCTCAGCTTAACTATTTGTGACGCATACCAAGTGACATCATCAAAACTGAAAAGATTTATATATATATATATATATATATATATATATAGGGTTAAGTGTAAAAAATTCTCCCAAACTATTATCCTTTTACAAATAATCCCTCTGAACTAAAAACCGCCCATTTAAACTATTGATTTGTTACAATTAAAGATAAATCCATTACAAAAGACTATTTTACCATTTCTCATTAAAATTTTCACCTCTTATTAAATTATTTTTATTATATTTTCTCTTATATAAATATTAATTATACTATTTATCTTAATTTTATTTTCAGTATCAATTTAACATAAAAATAAAATAAATAGATTTGTAACTACCACTTTTTAAATTGATTAACTTATTATTAAAACATTATTATTTATAATAAAATGTATCATAACCAATTTAAACATTTTTATCGTAAAAAAAATATCTTCTTTTTCATACATTATATTAATGAAAAATTAATAAAATACTTATGAAAAAAATATCTTCTTTTCATGTAATATTCATTAAAAATTAAAAATTTAATTAATTTTTTTAAAATATTTCTACTAAATTTTTTTATTTAAATAATTAATTAAAAAAATTAAAGGTAAACTTATACAAATTTAATAGAAAATATCTCATCAAATTAGTATGAATTTTTTCATAATTTATTTAGATAAGAAAAATATATTAAATGTAATTCAATAAGAAGGGACATTATGGTCATATAATGAAATATAGTATAGTATTTGGGATATGTTGTAACAAAATGAGATAGTTTAGTGAGTTTTATGCATAAAATATAGTTCAAAGGGTTATTTGCAAATTCAAACATAGTTTAAGAGGGTTTTTTACACTTTGCCCATATACATATATATATATATATAACTGGCAATATATATATAAATTCACAGATTAATCAATGTGCTTGGTGTCCTAAGGAAGACAAATTAAATCAAGAGATGAGCATCCTTAGTTCATCAATTTGAATCTACTTTCAAAGATTTTTTACTTTTGATTCCAACATTTTCCATTGTCCCTACAAAACAGAGGACCATTCTTTTCCAATCTCTCTCTCAGAAAACAACTCTTGCAAGTCAGAAGCAATCTTTAATTGTGATGCCACTCCCTACAAAACCCTAGATTCTGTTCAAGACTTCCAGTGAATCTTCAGCAACCACACTTAGTTGCGTGAATATCAACAAAATCTAAGTCCAAAAATACCTAATTCAACGACTTAGTGAGGGTGGTATTCATGAATAATGCGACAGCAAAAAATGACATTAATTTGTCCTCTAAAAATCATGCACCAATTCGGTGCTCCCAAATATAACATAAATAATTTTGACATACACATGAGAAAGTGGACATCAACAATATATTTTGAGAATCTAAAAAATTATCTTTAAAAAATTGTGTTCTGTTATCAAAGGTCAAGATGGAAGTATAAGAAATTGTTAGTCAAAAGATAAAATTCTTGAAAATGCGCAGCCAAGACATTTCAAGTCGTCAATATATAGTTCCAGATAAAATTGTTTTCTGTACACTTTGAAGTCCAGTACCATTCATGGCACTTCAAAAAGACAATGTAATGAACTAACCATTTACAACACATTTGTCATCGATTTACAGCACATATGTACCTTTTAAACTTACATATTTACATTCAAGTTGTGATTAATCGAATTTATATAATTTTGCCCTAAATCACATAATTCTTCTGAGTGGGTGGCGCTTTCACACTCCACGCGCACATTTGTTCTTGTGCTCTGTGCGCACACCTACTCTCATCTCACTCTGCGTGACTTAAATTTTGTCCTTTTTGCACTCCTGCACTCACATTCGCTCCCATTCCAATAGCCATTTTTTATATAAAATAAATTTACTTTACTGTGGCCTGCCTTTGCTTAAACATGCATCTTAAATTAATTTAATTAGAATAGACTGTAAATGACATGAGAGAGGCCGAACAAGTTTTCTGCTCCCTAAATGGGCCTATGGTTTTGAGCGTGTTTTATTCTTTTAAATGGGCCAAACACGTGTTAATTGCACGTACACAAACCCTCCTCTTCCATGCGCGCCATTCTGGTCACTAGGATATTAAACTTTTACTATATTCAGGGCATGACTTCATATAAATACATCTACGCCTGTTACAAGTTAATGAGAATATAATTCATTCAATACACACACACACACACACATATATATATATATATATTAAGACTTATGCCATTATATTATGCAACTCTGATCATTACAACTAATTAAGAGCACTAATGAATATAGTAGTAGTACTAATATCAATATATATATGCATGAAAGAGTAAGCTAGCAGACTAGCTTTATCAATTATGAACCTGTTTATTATCATATATATATATATTTATATATATATATCATTGAATTCATTCAACCTCCTAATATAGAAAAGATGCAAGTGCCTCCAAAGCTTCACTTGGTTGAAGAGGATCATGACTAAAGTTCCAATTTTCTAGCATTGTTTCACTACTTAAATTGTCCAACACCGCTTCATAAGCTGCAGGAAGAGGAAAATCAGAACCAGAAGCCATGTTCCCGCCACTATAATAATCTCCATTAATGCCAGAGCCCCCATTGTCCTCAAATTCCGGGTTAACAACATCTGATTCAAGAAGATCACTGATGTTGAAATCCACCAAAAAATTAGAGGAATCATCCTCCATAACTAGGGAGGAAGAGGACAGGCTGTGGAGCTCCCGAGTGGGAACATAATTATTCTTGAACATTTGATAATTATGTAGGTGTTGTGGGATGATAACTTTGGTGCATCGCACAGCCTTAGTTCGTATCACGGGGTGTGGTTGGATTCTAGTTTGTGGTGTCAATGTCTCCTTGTTTTTCAAATTAATATTAATGAGTTGTTGTTTGGTAGAGTAGTTTTGATTCTTCTGACCCTGCAACATTCTCTTCCTCAAATTGGTGTTCCAGAAGTTCTTGATTTCATTGTCTGTTCGCCCCGGTAGTCTCCCAGCAATAAGTGACCATCTGCAGCGTCCATATATGTATATATATCACCGTGAATCTAATATGTGCTATTATAAAGTGTAAATAATCCATCAACTGAACATCTATTAATTAAAAAATGTTCCCCAAAATATAATTTGGCTCCATTTCAGTCTTCCATATCATTTAGTATTTTAGTCCATTGCAAGTGAAAATTTGGTTTTAAAATTTTAATGAAATGACCTTTAAATTTGTACTATCAAAGTTGGTGGCATGTTCGATATTGGGAGCTTGTGAAGTATGCTAAATGCAAATTAATTAAAAAAAAGAGTAAATTAATTATAGGACTGACTAACATAAATATCAACATAAACCTTGAATTATTAAAGGCCCACAAAAAATGGGTATTCGGACATCAGAGTCAATTCAAAGGAAAATGAGGCATCAGTGATCAATACAAAGGAAAATGACAAATAGTTCAAGAGTACGCCACATTTGGCTTCTTTTTTTTTTTTTTTTTGTTATAATGTGAGTAAGGAATGATGTCATCCATCACTTTTATAAATATAATCAAATTAAATCTTTTATGAAAAAATTAAAAAAAATAGAACTATGGAGTGAGAGTGAGAGAGAGAGAGAGAGAGAGATTTACCTATTACCAAGGAGATTATGTAGTCTGATAATGAGATCTTCTTCTTCCTCAGTAATGTTACCTCTTTTAATGTCAGGCCTAAGATAGTTCAGCCATCGGAGTCTGCAACTCTTACCGCAACGCTTCAACCCTAAAAACACGCCATGTATGGAGCTAATATTGATGAAGTATATATATATATATAGGAAGAAAGAGTACACAATATTATTGAAATAAAAAGTAAGTAGAATGATAAAGCATGCACGCAACATTTTAAATGTGTACCAGCTTTTTGAGGAAGGTCTCTCCATTTGCCTTCTCCATGGATTTTGATGTAATTAGATAGAATCCTATCTTCCTGAGCAGTCCATGCTCCTCTCTCCAGTCCTACTTTCGCACAGCATGGCTTCCTTCCCATTTATTACTCTCTCTCGCTCTCTCTATATATATATATAAAAGATGGAAAGAAGTAGTCTTTGGTTCTGCAAATTACATTAACTTATATAGGAGACCTAGATGGTATGTAAGCAACTTTGGTGTCGGTATAATAAGACTAATTAATTGGGAAGTCTAGTGCCTCTACAGTGTGGGGGTCCCAATTAATAAATACTTAATTTGTACTTTTATGGGAGAGGGCATGATTTAATTTAAAGTTTAGAACTCCAAATGCAACCCACATTCCTTTTGAGAAATTATAATGCATGCATGTAAATGAAATACAAAACATAATTTTCACTCTTTTGCTAGTGCTAGCTTTTTCCCCCCCTTTTTGGGTTGACTATAGCTATATAGGTGGTAAATCTCTCTCTCTCTCTCTCTCTCTCTCATTTGGCATATCATGCACTATTCTACGTGCTGCCATCTAAGTCATAGGAGTACTATTTTGGCTTACTTTTCATTTTCTTTAATTATTCTTAATTCCTCACGAGATGCAAAGGGCTGGGATCTAGTAATGCTTTTCAACTTTAAATGTATACGTTGAGGTCTAGTTCTTTACCGGGATAAAAATGAATATGTGAGTTTTTTGTCCAGATTAAAATGAAAAAGGAAAAATTTCACTACCGCGGTTATTATTCTAATCACGTTTTTTTTTTTTTATAATTTCAATATGTGAGTTTTTTGCCTAGATTAAAGCGAAAAAAGAAAATTTTCACAACCGCTGCTATTATTCTAGTCACACTTTTTTTTTTTTTTAATATAATTTCAGACTTTTTGGTAACGAGAGGAGGAGGTCTGTATGGAGGTATAAAATTGTATATTAATTTGGTTGTAGAAGTCTAGAAAGGGTTATTTTTGACCAAGGTGAAATCCCTCTCTAATATTTTAGAGTACTTTAAACCGAATTTAGTAGGGTTACTCAGCGACCTAGTGTTACGAGAAGTATTTGTCTCACATCGAATTCAGGTGGAAAGTGAAATGTGTATAAATAGATAAGTATGTAACACTACTTAATAACTTACGTATTTGAGTAAATAGGCAAGCGTATACCCGTTATACTTAATTGATAGAATGCCCTACTCATGCACCCAGGATTTATTTATTTTTTTTCAAACTAATCTTTTCACGTCTTCGTTTCCGTACGTTAATTAGGTAGTAGATATTTGTGCGTGACAAAACAGATCGTGTATCTATCCTTCAACAAACCACATGATTCCACCTACTAGTGCAATTTCATTTGAATTAATGCAACAACTACCCTCCTAGCACGAGGTGCCCAACAATATAGAAAAAAAGGTCATGTGTTCATCCAATGGGGACATTTGTGTCTCTAATGAACAACATTTGTGAGTCTTTAAAACGTTTGGTTGAATCTGGTCATTTCTACTATTATGAAATACGGTAGTATATCATTAATTAAGACCATAGCGGACATGTTTCCTTCTCCAATATAATTGGATGCCCCCCCCCCCCCGCCCCCCCCCCCCATAGCGGACATGTTTCCTTCTCCAATATAATTGGATGGCCCCCCCCCCCCCCCAACCCAATAAACCTCTCTTAAAAAAACCATTAGAAGAATATTCTACCGCTTTCTAACTGTAAAAATAAAGTTTGTGTTTATATCCCATTCCATAGGACACGATGACATTATTGGTGGGATTCACATCCCCACACAATTAAAAAAGTGTATCCATTGTTAATAATTTATTCTTCCAAACATAATATATTATTATCTTTTCTTTTATTTGGACCCTTTTTCTTCTTTATTATTATCCATTGTTAATAATTTATTCTTCCAAACATAATATGTATTTTTTTATTTTGTCTTTTTCAAGAAAAATGAACGTTGATTCTTGAAATCGTCTAAAGAAAAGCAAAAGAAAGAAAGTGACGTGTCTTTTGTCATTTTTATTTTTTATTTTTTTATATATAAACTTGCTCTAGGGTTTTAAATCCAAAACCACCTCTTCATAGTAGAGTAAAATTACTGACATTTGACCATTTTCAAATCCTGCAATAATAAAAGTATGGTGTCTTCACCTATCGTTTTTTCACCAATTAAGTGGAGACAAGTGTTTGGGCCCAAGCCATAGAAGGTGAAGTGTGATGGACGGCCCATCCTAACGAAAGACAAAAGATTGGTTTGTAAAAATAATGCACACCTTGTTATATTCGTAATCCTATGACTTGTAATTATTTTTTTTTAATAAGGGATCACCATAGTATTTCAGTGGGATGTATTTTCACTCCAGCTCATATCCATGTGATTAAAAATATTTTCAAGATGGTTGTTGAACTGAAGATTCAATCTATATGACCCAATCACAGATGGTGCAGTCTATTTTACCTATTTGCGTGATGATGTAAAAGTTTTTCCCAGTGGAAATGGAAAATTCAAAGGATGGACCTAACCCCAACCAAATCACACTATCAATTGTCCACCGAGCAAATATTTATCAATCATGGATTGCTTATCTCATTACTTTGTGTGGTCCCATTTAGGCCATCAACATCAAATACAGACAGCTCTACTTAATTATTACTCTACTTCCTATACAGTGACATCAACTTGCCTAATTAGAAAAGACTCAAAAACTTTTTCCACCAAAAACTATTTGTAGAAGAAATATCAATGTCAAAGCACTCCCATTCAACTTTTGTAAAAGAAAAAAATCACCTCGTGAAAACATTTTTCCTCCTTTGTCATTTCATAATTCTTTTCTTTTATACACTAAAATATATACTTGGCACTTCCTGCAAAGCCCATGTATTAGTAATCTAACAGTAACAAACCACTACTTTAATGTCCAAATATGCAACAAAATCACTTCAATCTTCAAATCCCTGTGTTGAAGGCGGCTCACTAGCAGGGATGGCAATTTTATGTGTTAAATCTACAATAACATCCTTTAATATTTTTATATAATTATTAATTATACAAACTACTCTCATAATATTCTTTTTCTCACTTACTCATCAAATCATCTTCGTGTTATAATTAATCACTAAAAGATTTCAACATAATTTTTATAAAATGTTGTAAAAAACACTACCAAGGGATAGAGCATTTAGAACTGAGGCAAAGATGGGAGGTTTCTCCATACTAGACGAGCCCTAACACGTTCTTCAAACAGGGTTACCCTAGTCACCAGAGGTGCAACCCTCTCGTCTTCGTGCAGTTCTGGGTGACTCTCTCTGCTTAATTATTTGTGATGCATACCAATTCACATCTCAGAAGATTCAAAAATGACTGGCTACCTAAATCTAAGATGTAGCCAAGGCCTGCGGCGAAGAATTTTCCACACACAAATCCATACATTAATATACATATATGTAAGCAGACGGGGGACAAATCAGCAAAAAGACACCAAGGAACTCCCAAAGTAGCTGAGATGGCTTGAAATCTTGACTAATTGAAGAAATGGGGTAAGGAACCAACTGGTGGACAAATCAGCTAAAACACACGAAGGAACTCCCAAAGTAGATGGCTTGAAATCTTCACTAATTGAAGAAATGGGGTAAGGAACCAACTGGTTTATTGACTAATACCTTTTACACCGACTGAAGTTTGTCTGAGTCAATTATTAATCAATAATAAACTACTAATTTCAACACTAGTTTTGTTTTAATACTATTTTATATATCTAATCAACCATGTGCGGAAAGAGACTTTTAGTAAGTTATAACCCTCTCTTTCCTAATGATATTGTACCTGTATCTCCACTTTTTTCTTGACAAAAATTAGTGTCTAAGGGATGGTTAATAGATTTTGATAACTATTAATCACAAATTTCATCCTTTAATTTTAACCGCTCTTCTAATTAATTAAGCAACCTTCAAATAATAAGGTTTTTTTTCAAGGCCATTATCCGAAGTTTGCATATGTTAGGAGTAACAAACTAATAACAAATTTAACATCCAATATTATCTTTAGCACCAAATAACTCCTCTAAACCCCCAACAAAAGGTTTTAATATTCTCATTCTAAGGTTTTAATATTCTCATTCTCAGTCCACTATATTTCAGCTTGAGTATTTTACAAGATTGGAAAAAAGTTCCAAGCATAAGCAAACCAAAGTAAAAAAGGATTTTACGAGCTACTCATTATTGTAACTAATGTACCAATCTGGTCAATAGATCATAATTGTAGGCTTCTGCTTTTTTTCTTTTTCTTTTTTATCGAACCACAATATATTTAAATATATACTCCATGGGGGTAAGAAGAAAATATTTTTAGATAATACACCTACATTTTGTTTCCTAATGTGGCAAACACACACACACACACACACATATATATATAACTAGCAATCATTTGTAATCAACTAACCCAAAGCCCCCAGGAACACACCAGCAATACTTTGTTGAATTGTGATTATACAAATATAAATTTGTATGCCCATAAGACCCATCAATAACTAAACCTAAATACCTGATACCATCTAAATCATTGTATTTTATTTTTTTTAATTCACAGATTAATCAATGTGTCTGGTGTCATAAGGAAAATAAACTGAATCAACAGATAAGAAACAGAGATTGGCATCTTCGACAATATAACGAAAACCATAAAATGTTAGCACTTTTTTTTTCCCCTGTCCATAAAATGTTGGTACAGATTGTCCAAATCCCAAGTAAGCACATCTTTAGTTTGAATCTACTTTCAGAATTTCTCGACTTCAGATTCCCATATTTTCCCTCCAAACAGAGGAGCAAATGTCATTATTTTCCAACTTTCTCTCAGAAAACAACTATTGCAAGTCAAAGTCATCTTTAATTGTGATGCCGCTCCCTACAAAACTTTTGATTCTGTACTAGTCAGTCTTCAGCAATCATCGTTAGTTGCGTGGATCGTGAATCTCAACAAAATTAAAGTCCAAATATACCTAATTCAATGACTTGGTGAGGGTGGTATCACGACTAATCCCACCATAAAATGACATTTGGCCATGACTGGCTCTAGAAACCCTCAGTCCACTCCCCCATCCCAAGTCTCTCACCCTTGATACAATTTGATAAGACCTATTATTTGGCCTTTCGTTATCTAAACCCTTTTCCTCTTTTTAAATCGTGTTATTTTCCACAACTTCAAGAGTTAGAACTCTAGATGAAAACTTGAAAAGTACATAAGCCACTATATAATTATATACGGAGTTTAATTTAGGTTCATTCATGTTTTATTTAGGCTAGAATGCTGCAAGTTCAGATCTGTTAATGCTTTCTTGAGATCTAAAGCATGCTGCAATCAGAGATGTTCTAAATATCTAAAGGGACCAACAGGCCAGTTGCCTATACCAAGTTCCTACTTCCCAAAGGGAGGTCAGGGGTTCGAGCCTCAGTGGAGACGTGTGTGTGAGTATCAATTAAGAATATATATATATATATATATATCTAAAGGGTAAAGGATATCATATATATTATGGGTGTGGGCTAGGGTGGTGGCCCAGGATTTTCTTTTCATTAATGGGCCAAAATGTATAGCTCAGGTAATTTTAGATTAATTTACAATTCAAAGTTCCCAAATAATTTTGGATGGTCATCAATATATTTTGAGTATTTAATAATTTTCTAATTAAAAAAATGTGTTTTGTTATTAAAGCTCAAGATGGAAGAATGAGAAATTGTTACTCAATAGATAAACTCTTAGAATATGTGCAGCCAATAAATTTGAAGACGATATATATAGTTCCAGACAATTTAGGTCATACAATAGAATTGATAATAAGAACGTAACAAAATCTGATTAAGTCATTAGTTCTATAAGGCCCTAGATTAGGCCAAGGCCATGGTGTATTATTTGGGCAGGCCCAATACAGAAAATTTATTCATGTCTATCCTTGTTCAAAATTTGTTAGTGTAGACTGTAGAGTAGCCCAAGAGCTACCCTATCTTAAAAACCCGGATCCTCTTCTGTACACTTTGGAGTCCAACACCATCCAATGCACTTTAAATCGACAATGCAACACACTACATCGATGATGCAACACCCACGCAACAACAACACAACATTCATACAACACATTTACATCAAGAATGAACCAACCATGCAACATATTACACCAAGTTGCAACATTGTAACACCATTAAATCAGTGTTTGCATTCTCAATTTCATAATGTTCCATTCTTGATTTAATATTGTTGTGTGGATGCTTTATTGTTGATTTAAATTCCCTGGAGGGTACTTGGCCTAATTGTGCATTGGAGAGGATCCTAATTCCCTATCTAAGATGTTGCAGAAAGATATTGCAAGACATGGAGAGGTTATAATACAAACAGGATCAGTGTTTTGCTACCAAATTCAAGTTACATTAAAGCATTTAATTCTAGAAGATGAAAGATGACAATGCAGAAGATGCAGAGGTAGAACTTATAGTATTTACCCACAAAGAAACGCTAAGGAAAAACGAAAATATAAAGCTATATAGAGAAGGAATCTATGGAAAGAACTAGAATCAGCCTGAAATTTGGAGTGCTGAAAAGTAAAATGGATTTCAAAAGTCCAAAAACTCATATTATATATTTCAGGAACCCCTAAAATATCTCCAAACTGAAACCTTGACTCAACCAGCAGTGACATTCATCATATACAACTCTAAAATCTGATACAGTAATATGTTCCACTCTTGACCTGGACAATAGTCCTAAAAGAAGGGAAATATGAATTCCTTCCATAAAGAATTCCATAGCAAATTTTGATTCCGTGCAACTGCCACATTGAATGTGTAATGATGAAGATTCTACACCAGGCTCAATAATGTCCAAAACAAAAAGGGTGTATAGACCCCATATCTGTTGTATCCCCAGTTTCCTCCAAAATTTCAGGAATATCCATACACCAAAAAGTCTAGAAATCTATATGCCCTTAATATCCTTCCCGCGGCTGCAGAGGAAAAACTCGAAGTCCCAGCTGATGTTCCATTTTAATGAGCCCAAGTGCACACCAATAATTGATCCACTTCCCTGCCCGCTTTGGATATAAAAGCTTTTATGTATTTTTTTCTTTTCTTTTCTTTTCTTTTCTTTTTTTATTTGAAATCCCAACCGCCTTGGTCCCAATTTTGGACCCTAAATTCGACACTTTCTATCTAATTTGTAATAAGGTGCCTTAGAGCAACCCAATGCCACTCAACCAACGGCTAATAGAGATTATGGAAAAAAATTATAGCCTACAAGTCATCCTCGTGGACAAATTGGCATAAAGCAAATCCACAGAAGAAAGAACCCACATTTTATGATATTAACTTCTAATCAAATTATAGAGGGTGCCTTGTATAAGTATGGAAATCGAAGTTTTAAACCACCAAGGGATACCAAATTCTTATAAATATGAATTATAGTTTAATGCAAAACTTCAAAAGAGCAATTCAGACACTTTCGCAAGGTGGCAACATTGTTCTTCCCCAGCCAAATATCTCAAATTCTAAATCAAGAAAAGCTCACAATTACCCTCAATCCAAACACAAAAAAGATCACAGGGAACAACAACAAAAAAAAGAAGAAGAGTATCTTATGCTTTAAACCATCCATAAGGCACCACATACACACACTATAGCAAATATAACACAACATAATCCACTACACAACAACAACACATTTACACATTTTAAAGTTTAAACTAATATAAGTCCACCTAAGGTCTTAATCATTTGGATACCATTATTTTGATAACACACAAACATTCAAGTTCTTTCTTTCGAAGTCAAGGCTGTCCCAGAAGTCCTACTGCTACGACCTTTCACAGAGAACACTCTTTATGATCAAATATTCACATTTCGAATTGAGGCATCATGAAGTATAATAGATTACTAAGTTACTAACTATGCCATCAAATCATCAAATTGACAAACATAAACATAAGTGCATTGAAGCTATCCAACACACAAGGTTCCAACATTGTTCATAACAGGGGAAAAAAAAAATTAAAAAAAAAAAAAGAAGCAATTAAAATTCGTTCATAACAAAGTTGAGCAACAGAAAATATAACCTCGGAATCGTCAAAACCATCAGAGGCTAGCAGATTGGGGCGCCGGAATCACGTAATCGAGGACAATCACGCTCTCCAGCAGATCCCTAACCTTCTCTTTCTCCGCATTCACCAACTCCACATTCGAATCCAACGCCTCCAATTCACTCAATCCAGGAAACAAAGCGATGGAGGCGATCGAAAACCCTTTTGCCCTCGCCGGAGAGAAATTCTCCCCCAAACTGAGCTGATCAATCGATCCGAAACGCTCCTTAATCCCTCCAATCACTCCCAAAATCTCCCCTTTCTCTTTCTCCTCCAAACACTCCTTCAATTTCAAGAACGTGACTCTCATGGCCGAACCGGACCGTGGGACCAACGGACTGGAGAGATCGTCAACGACCCAATCGACGGCCATGATGTCTTCACAGATCGGCCTGACCGATTCGCCGACGACGGCCAAGTGGCTGGGATGTGCCGTATAGGCGTTGAGGTCGTCTTTGGAATTGTATCGGCTGTGCAGCATGTGAGTGAAGGTGAAGGCGGAGGAGCGGTTGCGGAGGAGCGGTCCAGTGGTGAGGTGGAGGACTTGAGGGAGGGAACTGAGGGCGTTGAGGCCGTTGACCATGGCGGTGACTTTGGAGGGGTCAGTGTCGGGTTTGACTTTGAAGAGGACGATGTGTTCGATGATTTGGGTTGACATTTTGATGGACGGTGGTGATCGGATCGTGTTGTAGGGTTTGAAATGTTGGAGAAGAGGTCTGAGGCGTGAGGAGGAGGAGGAGGAGGTGAGTGGAGAAGGTGCAGATAAGAAGTGTGCGACTGCTCTCGGAGTAAGACACACCATCTTTTGCTCTGCTTCTCTTCCGATGATGCTTAGTTGATAGTGATGGGTTGGTTTACTCGCTGCTGTGATGGACCGGACGGTTAGAGTGATTTCAAGCTCGTACCCGGTTTAGCCGGGTCCCCCATGGGAAATGTACTTGACTTTGACGGTGCCTCCGAATGAATGGACCAAAAAAAACAAACGGGCGCAAGCTCGCAATAGGAATTTGAGCCACACTTTTAACAGTTGACTTGCATATATTGAGCCATCATCATATAGGTAACAGAGCCCAATAGACCCGAGACATGATCAGATTGGCGCTTATGTGTGATCACATAGCTGTCATTTTGTGCTTGAAACAAAATCAAATAGGCTTCAGGGTTCTCAACTTTGGGCTTTGAACTATGAGGGCCCATTCTTTTTAAACTTGAGTGATATCACACTTCTTTTTCTTTTTTTCTCTTTTTTCCTTTTTATTTATTTATTTATTTGTAGCATTTCACTTTTAGTAGCATCATTTTATTTTATTTTTTTAACCTTGACAAAAAATACACTCACAAATTCTCAATTTTTTACTTCTAAAAGGTATGAAAATATTACTAAACTACACTATCCTGAATTTTTGTAGCATCATTTTTATAACTATATAAAGTTAATGAATTTTTTCCTTGACAATGCTTAGCTACTCACCGGCGAGTAGCCACACCCTACTCACCCTTATGTGTTCCAATAAAAAAATAATACATCAGCTTTAATAACAAAATCAGCAAAATACTGAAAAACAGAAAAGAAGTTGGATCGACCGGTTTTAATTGGGTAATCACCCTTTCTCTTTTTTCTTGAGTCAACATTTTTGGTGATTTCATACCGTCTAAAAATAATTATTTAAAAATAAATAAATAAAGTATATTTCTATCAAATAGATAATCAAGTTACCTTTGTTCTTATATATATATGCTAAAAAGATAGATGAAAAATATGGTACAACATTCGGTCTTTCTCTCTAAACTGAGCAAAGACAGCTAGATCTCACCATTCTTAATTACTTGATCCACACAGAGAGAAAAAGGCCTCATGGCTTTGCAAAGGAAGCACCTGCATATGGTGTTGCTATGGTGGTTAGCAGCGGCAGCATTAGCAACAGAAGCATCTCAAACAATTTGATCTGACTGTGAAGAATATTGTGGGAACGTATGCATTCCGGAGAGAAGAGCGCGTGGGTTTGGGAATCTATGAAAGAGAGAGAAGAGAGAAAGGGTGATACACACGGATCAATCTGACTTTCTTTTTTTTTTTTTTCCTTTTTTTTTTTCCTTTTTTAAGTATTTTACTGATTTTGTTATTAAAGCTGATGTGTTTATTTTTTTACTGGAACACATAAAGAATGAGTAGGATGTGGCTACTCACCGGTGAGTAGCTAAGCATTGTCCTTTTTTCTTTGTGGTGTTAGATTTGATTAACCTATGAAATCAATCCGATTAGATTGGGATATAAATCAACCACCATTCTGAAAGGAGAGACAAGGTAAAACGACTAAGAAATAGCTATTTATACCTGTAAAATCATTTAGGTTATGTTTTGAAATTAAAACGGATGGAATTAAAGAAAAGTAATTCAAAAATTAAATCAAAATTTTCTTCAATTCTTGCAATTTCATGTCACAGCTAAGGCTTTTGAAAGACCACAAATATTTAGTGCAACATAAGAAACTAGTATATCCATCTTTTTGCCCTGAGAAATGAATTAGTTTGATCCTGTGTAAGCTAAAACCTACTATTCTACAGTTCAAAGGCAAAGACTATTATTAGAAGTGGAGTAAAAAAATAATAACAGGGGCGAATTCCACCGTCACTAAAAGCCCATTTGAGGGTGTTGTTGAAATAAAAAAGCACTTTTATCAATAGAGCTGTCAAAAAATTATGGTAATTAAAAAATATATTAAATATTTAGTGACACATTATAATAAGTATTTTTAATATTAGAATGGTTAGAAGTTTAATTAGTAGATGCAGAAGTCTGACACTCCTAAGTCCACCTAAGATACTAACCAACTGAGCTGTCGAACATTTAGGAGGACCCTTTAACAACCCGACTAATCCCCAAGGACTCGGAAAGGTACCTACCCATCCGAACTGGGTAAGTCACTACAGTAAAGACTAGTCACAAAGAACACCCAGCAAGACTCGAATTCCGGACTTTGGACTTATAAAGTTTCAAAGTTCAATAAATAAACCATTAGATCATATCCGAAATAAATATACCTTTTAATAATTATCAAATACATCTATAAGGCTAAATGAACAAAAAATTTCAAAATAAAAACACTTTTTAGTAACCCATAAGCAATCCCGGACTCTAAATTTTGATATTTTGGTTGCAAAGCCTTTATAAAATGGAACAAGTGCATCTTTTAGACCAAATGGATGTAGCCGAGCTAGTTCAGGTTGCGGGGTCCACACTAACTATTAATTTTTACTTTTTTTTATTTAAATTAAACAACATAAATATTTAAGATACTTTATAAAATGGAACACGTGCATCTTTTAGACCAAAATGGAAGTAGCCAAGCTAGTTCAGGTTGTGGGGTCCACAATAACTATTAATTTTTACTTTTTTTATTAAATTAAACGACATAAATATTTAAGATACTTAATTCTTATGGATTAAATTTAAAACAATAGTAATTTTTTTTTTTAAAATATATCTCGATCCCACAATTGAAATAATATTTAATTGTGCGAGATAATATCACTACCTTCATGGATGACGTCATCAATCATTATGAGAGCATCTCATTACAATACAACTAGGTCAAAACATACATTAATCTCTATAATCACGAATGTAATCTTCTCACAATGAATTGACGTCTTAAATTTCAAATAATAATAATAATAAAATAAAATCAGATGTGACTGACTGAGGTTTAATAAATACATTCATTAATTCGAAACAACATCATTTCTTCAGATTACAACAAATGCGCAATCCGAGTCATCCGACCCTATCCCTAGGCGCGTAATTAAGAAATGAAGATTACCGTAATAATCTACAGCTATGCACGTGTACCCAATAAGTAATAATCAGGCACAACCTAGCGAAGAATAAAGTTATAGCTTCCTCTAATAAGACGACACGTGCAAAGAATTTGTGCGTGGATCTACTTCTTTTGATGTGACCTCAATCTAGAAAACTGCCACGTCAGATAAGGAATCCTATCTTTCTGTGCTCCTGCGCCCCACCGAATCTCAGTGGCCCCCACTTGACCACTTATACTTCATGCACGAACCCAAATGTTTGACCTCCTGATCTTGTTATCCAATGTAGTCGGATACACAGTACACTCTTGACTTCTTCACATCGAGTGGATTAGATTACATCACTCGAATCTGATCCATGGAGCATCGACAAAATCACTGCATGTCCGCCACGTGTAACACAATAAGGAAATCCGGGGATGTAATACAACATCTGTATGTATTGAAGCAAGATTTATTTTACGAAAAAAAGACAATTGAACGCAACAAACATAGGATAGTGCCAAAAGTAGGTAATACGAAGACAGATATGAACATGATGTCACCTTTGTCTTAACTCATTATTTTATACTCTCTCTCTTCCTTTTAAATGAAGATTTATAGAGTTCTTGTGTGACCAAAAAAATTTCACAAGCAGCACTGCACAATTTCAGGTGAGAGAGATTCCACAGAACTAAAGATCAAGTGCATTAGCTTGCTAATTTACAAAATAATTGGAAATTAATTTTAATAGAATTGTTGTTCTTCGAGTTAAATTTGATACTAACAATCTGTTGTTATGTTGGTAATATCATAGGTGTTGAAAAGATTCTGGTTGAAAGGAATTGTAAGATCGAGATTTGAGTACATTTTTGCTCAATTAACACCGGTCAGGATCATTTAGCTAAAAAAAAAATTCTCTATTGCTTCATTTTCTTCCATTGATGAGACTTATTAATTTAGTGTGATTTTTCTTTGTTATGCTTATTTGTAAATTAAATTTAATTAATTTCGCAAAGATTTCCAGATGGAGTACATTATAAACATCTGAAATCTAAGTAACGGAGTAACTAGAAATTTTTGATGTTGAAGATTTGGGAATCTTTTGTTGCTACTTGATTTTCTTTATTTATTGTATGTTGAATCATTAGTCCTGCATGCATAATTGAATGTTGTATATTTTATATGCTTGATTTTAATGTTAGATCGCATTTCCTTAAATTGTGTTTGGTAGTATGAAATTCAAATCTTGCATAAAAATTAGAATTTTAGCTTCAATTTGACAGGAGAAAAGGAATTAAATTTGGCTTTGCATTGTAAAGACATAGAATTAATTTATACAACTTACTCTCACCCACACAAAGAAAATAATTATATCCAATTCTGTATGATCTTATGACCTTTATGAAAGTGAAAGGAGGGAATCAAATTGAAACCATATATTCATTTTTAAGTCGTCATCCACATAATTCTCCTTTTTCACTCTTTTCTATATATCCTACTTAAATTTATTTTTTTAAATCATTTCTTATCAACCTCATTGTCTCTTACCTTCTATGAAAATCAACCTTCCTTTCCTCACATTCAAATTTTCACTACATGAATGCGTTGTCCGTGGTTCTTTTTTAACACCCAATATTCCACTCCATGTAACATAGTCGGGCTAATGATTGTTCTATATACTTTCCCTTTTTAACTTATTTGGTATTCTTTAATTGCATAAATGCCCATGCATTTTTGTTATTATTGTTTTCCACATGATAGTGTCCCAACCCAATTCCATCTCTACTAAAATTCTCTAGGAAAACATACAATTCATAATCCCTTTGACACTGGTTTCCACTCCAGAAACCAACTGAATTAGATCTCATGAAAACTAAAACTGTAGAAAATAATCATGAAAATTAATATCACAATACACAATTTCTTTCTTTCATTCTTAATATATATAACAACAAAATGTGGTTTCAAACCATTAAATATGACATGGTGTTTCAAAATTTTTGCATATGTTTCTATAAATTGGCATATATAATGTAAAAACATCATGATATATATTGAAAGCTTCTTCCACCAGTGCTATCACTATCTGTTCGCGCGCGCGCGTGTGT